AATATTCTTTTAAGGGGCTTCTAAATGAAACCACGGGTAAAATCTATACAAACAAGACGGCGACTTCGCAACTCATAAATAAACAAAATCTGAACGCGGGTCAGGCCAACAACGCGAAAATTCACGGCTCGCCGACCGGCTAAGCGGATCCATTCCAAAATTTTTCAATTTATTTGAGCAGGATTTCCTTCTGGAATTAATATTATTTATTCACACTGTTAATGAAGCTTATTGTTCAGTAAATGTGACATTTTCTATGTGTCAACAGGTGAACCACAGTGAAAACGTTGTTTTCACTTTTCTTTTATAACTCAAACTCAAAATAACGTTATTCATATAGGTAAACAAGTACACTTATGAACGTCAAAAATAAGTTAAATTAACTGTAATTTAACATTTACTACCAGTTCGCAAGTCAAGGAAGTAGAGGGGGCAAGAAAATATAAATAAAAGGTTTCTCTGAACTCTGTAACAAAGTAGAAGATCTGTAGAATAGCATATTCTTTGTTGACCTGGTCAATTGATTTATATAACGTGATTAGCTTGAAAACCCTGAATAGGATTTCCGGAAATCAAATTACAAAGATTATTACCTAGGTTTAGGTTAAAAGTCCAATCTTAAGGTTTAAGTATAATCACGAAAAAGTTTATAATAATCACTCATATATTACGTTGAAACCTAATAAGGACTTATGTTGCCTTATGTACAGTACAGTATGTCAGTGCGCGATCTCTAAATACCTTCAGTATATAAACAAAATGTATTGCTTATGGAGTTAAATAGGTGAGTGCATACAATAGTATTTGGCAAGCTATGAAAAAATTGAGCTCCCACGTAAGTAATAACCGCACATAGTTCTCCGTTCTAGGAACCGAATGAAAAATCCTTCTTACTTAAGTAAAAAATATAAATTTATGGTCTTGTTTAATAATAAAATAAATCATTGTCGCTACATCTTTTTTGGGTGTGGGATTCAGATTTCTTAACATGGTTCATGATTATTTGTCAATCTAATAGGCGCACATAGAAAGAAAGTCCATTGGTGCACAGCCGGTAACGAACCTACGACCTCAGGGATGATTAGGATTTTAAGTTTATCTGTAAGGCTAAGGTTTGTTTTGGTGTCCTGTAGGGTGTTTTTATATTTATGTTCGATTTTGAGGCCATTTTTGCCACGCAACACCACTATGTGGAACCAGCTGTAATGTATTTCCGAACCAATTTGACTTAGCGTCCTTCAAGATAACAGCGTACCAACTCCTAAAAGGCGATGCATTTGCGAGCCCTGTGGCAGTGTTAGTGCCCACCATCTCACTTATCACCTAACATCAGGTAAGCTTTCTGCCTATTGGCCCCCTGTGCTAAAATAAAAACATGGAAATACGTAATAACCACTAATTAATAAGCTACATTACCTCATACATGGCAATTTTGCCATGCGTTTGAATTTCATGCAGGTTTGATTCTTGATAAAACAATTATTGTTTCGTATAGCCAAAGACTGGTAACCTATAAAAATAATCAATAATTCACAAACGTAAATAAATATGCCCCATTTATTACGTTACTTGTATAAGTCTTCTGTAATCTGTTTCTGTATCAATTTTCTTTATGTGATCATGTTATTCCTAGTTTAATTTATATGTAAAATAACTAAAATAATCGGAAAGTTTAGATTTTACATAGTAATTTATGTAATATCTTAACATTCCGGCTCAAAAACACCGGTTTCCTCGCGATATTTTCCGTAAATACTAATTGCACATATAGAAAGTAAAATATTAAAAACCCCAAGTTTCAAAGCACCTAAACTTACTCTGCTCTGTGAGTTACGTTTGTAAATTAAAAACATGTTTAACATACATAGTTGACGTATGAAAAAATCAAAAAGAAGTAGTTCAGTTGACACAGTAATTTCGTTGAAAGTTTGCGCTGCAAAGTTGTAAGGCGGTAAAAACTCGTTACGCCAAATCGGCCACTAAAACTCGCGAAGCGAAAATTCTATCCAACTTCAATTTACTTTTATTGTTCTTGCTTCCTGTTGTGAAAAAAAACTTTGTGCCAAGACACGCTAAACACACTTATAAACTAGCTGACCCAGCTTCGCACGGGTCCGGCGGCTTGACCTTTTAAAAACTCCCAACAATTATTGTTTATTATTGTCATCCTCTAATTATATATCATCTGTGTATATAGTTATAATTGTCTTTTAATTTAAACAATTCATAAATGTTAGCCATATTACAGTAAAAGAAATAACTAATAACCCTTTAACTGGTATTGTATAATGTTATCTTTAAGTAATATTATTCTTACACTATTACTAACTTCTAACTAGTAATTTAGTTGACTGTTTTGTTTTATGTGTTTCTTTTTAAAACTTCAAAGTTATTTGTGTACCCATATATTTAGTATATTTTGCTACCATTCAGTATTTGCTGTGGAATGGAAGAGTTCTCCATATCACAGGTTCTTAGTTTGGAAACCAGTCTGCCAATACCTTATAACTGTAATCGTATTGTTTGTTGCAATTGTTATTAGAGAAAAATAAAGAATTATAATTATCTTTTTTATTCTGAAATTGTTAAATTGATTTGTTAAAGTGAGCTTGCTCTGTATAATTTATAACAATTTAAAATTAGAACATTCGTCCATCAAGCTACAAAGATCCAAGGAACGAAGAGGGTGTCCAATAGCCATTCCTTGTGTCTTTATCATACTGTGTAACGTTATTGTTTAGCTAAGCTTATCCAAAACACAAACGTCACTTAGAATAGTAAAAACCTTTCTCATCTAGTCTTAATCCTACTTACAAATTCTTCCTAAACTTCGCGTAGTTGTTGCGTCTATCACGAACATGTAGACAGATAGACACGGCAAGACGATGTTTTATGAATGTTTGTTGTTTACATACTTAAGTCAAGTATGACTTCTATATGTCAAGATGGCGTATGTTTGGATTCTGAATCATATATATATATCTTCTAGTTAAATATTGCAAAGATTTCGTTTTCTACTAGGACTATCCTTAGCATGAGGAATTTATTTAATAATTAATGTAATAGTCAAATATCAATATCAATTTTCGGATAAATTAGCTCCATGGACGTTGAGCTAAACGGTACCACTATCATTATCAGTATTGGTTAAGATATAAATATTAATTCCGGAAATGTTATTAGAAAAAATTTGGCGGCTCAAATAAAAGTCTTTCCTCCAACTTCGAATTTGTTCCCTTTGGAGTAGACTCTTGGGCCGTGGGGTTGGAGTGCACAGGCGGCAATTATAGATTTAAGTTGGCACCTAGTAGATAGTACTGGAGACCCCAGAGCTGGTGCTTTCCTCGCTTAACGAATAAGTATTTAAGGTACACTGTCATATATCTTGATTATCAATACTACTAAATAGATTTTCGGGAATATTGTCAAATCAGAGACTTTGATTAAATAAATGTCTATACGTGGACTTTTTATAGCGAAACCAGGGCAGGCCGTCAGTTATATACTAATTCTTTTGAGTTGCAAAATTTCACGTTTGAATTCGCTTTCTTTCTGATCAAAAGCCTCCGGGAAAATCTTTCTCAGTGATCTTTATTTGAGTTTTCGTTCACGTTCGACAGAGGTAACGTTTAATTTGCGGATTTTCATCAAATGCCCTTTGTTTAGCGGACGAAAGATATTTTTGTATACTTTTCAATTTTCCGAATTGCTACGGTGACATTTAAGACGTTTCTTTTTTTAGATGCTCTAAAAATAATAGTGTCTTATGACAGAATCTTGATTATAAAAATTTAAAAATACTTCATTTGTTTTAGACGAGTACTTAATTTGTTTTAGACGAGTACTTCATTTGTTTTAGACGAGTACTTCATTTGTTTTAGACGAATACTTCATTTGTTTTAGACGAGTACTTAATTTGTTTTAGACGAGTACTTCATTTGTTTTAGACGAGTTTTTAATTTGTTTTAGACGAGTAATTCATTTGTTTTAGACGAGTACTTCATTTGTTTTAGACGAGTACTTCATTTGTTGTAGACGACTACTTCATTTGCTTTAGACGAGTACTTCAGTTGTTTTAGACGAGTACTTCATTTGTTTTAGACTAGTACTTCATTTGTTTTAGTCTAGTACTTCATTTGTTTTAGACGAGTACTTCATTTGTTTTAGACGAGTACTTCATTCTAATTTTTTATCGTAACGGGTTTATACATAGCCTTTTATTTCGAGGTCTAGGGGAATATAGGGATTGCTTTTAAGGGTTTGTTTTAGGGATTTCCAAAAATTTGTTAATCCAGGGTCTGCAGATTTCAAACAGTCCTAAACGGTAATTTGCAGGATTGGGTTAAAGTCAGGAACGGATGGCAACTTTTTTATATTACAAAATAATATTGCTGCTGTCAATAACTGAGGGTAAGATTCCGAGTCAAGAATAAAGCTAGGACTTCAATACTTCAAAAACGTAGTTTCTGTCTGAGTTTCAAGTTTTAGATAACGGTGATTGGAGTGGAAGCTTCAACTCCTTTTCACCGATAAACCCGCAGGAGGTTTACGATTTGTATTTATATTTTTATGTGTGTTGAAGCAAAGCTTCACAAGCCAGCCAGTTTCTTTGCACTGACCTCCAACAGTTAGATTTATAGTCTAAATAATCTAAGTTAATTCAGTTTTACTTTTAATATCTAATTAACTTCTCTTAACCAAAACCTACTTTTCAAAAGTGTTATTGTGTTGGTGACTAAAAATAAAAACATGAACAATAAAATATAGGCAAGTGAAGTGAGAAAGAAAAATTTGCTTAACTTTCTACGTGGTTATTTTTATCTACGACCGTGTTGCTTAAACATAATACCAAATAAAGTTCGAGGTAAATACGTAGAAATTACTGTAAAGAGCATTTATTGCAGTGACATTTGTACTGTCACATTATTAAAGGAGCATTTGTTACTGTGCAATTTCGAAATTCTTTATATTTCCTATACTATAATTTTTAACAACACAAAATGGATGGTCAATTTCAACTTTTATTTGACAAAGTGAAAAATGAAATGCAAAAACAAACCACGGAGCTACAAACTTCTATAACTAACAAAATAATGGAGAGAATGGATGAAAAGTTACAACCTATCATAGCAGAAAATAAAATCCTAAAAACAAAATTAGAAAACGTCGAGAAAGACCTGGAAACCTTAAAAAGAGCTAAGAAACAAAATAATTTAATAGTTTTTGGTATAAAAGAGGACGAAAACTCTAACCTAGAACTACTACAAAAAGTGAAAAAAGTTCTTAAAACCGACTTAAGCATAAATATTGAAGATCACGATGTGAATAACATCTATCGCATTGGAAAAGCAGGTGATAAGTCAAGACCTACCTTGGTATCTTTCGTGAATGAATGGAAAAAGAACGAAATAATGAAAATGAAGAAAAATCTTAAAGATGTATACATTTCAGAAGATTATACTAAAGAAATGCTGGAGAAAAGGAAAACACTGCAGCCACAACTTATAGAGGAGAGAAAGAAAGAAAATCGCATACTTAAAATTCGATAAAATAATAATAAAAGGAAAAAGCAATACAAGCAATGGAAAACGGAGAAGAGAAACATCAACATCACCAGAAAATAATAATCAACCAAGGAAACAACAAACTTTCATACTATCGAACGCCAACAGATTAAATGCTTTTGATTTAATGCGAACAAGAAGCAATTCCCTCCCCTCAAACTCATTAGATAATAAGCAATAACAATTGAATATCGGTAAACGGAAAACACGACATACCTATAACATAAACAACACAAGTACAAAACACCACGCTCCCCCAAGCCGACTGGTCATCGTGGGGGAAAATGACCACGACCCTCTAAAGGTTAAAAATAACGTCAACGTCAATACTCACACTAAAAAGAAAACGAATGATATTCAAATAGCAACCATCAACTGTCGATCTCTTAGAACACCCGAAAAACTTGAAGAACTTGAACTAGCTATACAAGAAATAAAATGGGATATTATAGGGATCAGCGAAATGAGAAGATTTGGAGAACATATAGAAGACCATGGAAAGTATATATTATATCATAAAGGAGAGACGCCGGGTATGTATGGAATAGGATTCATGATTAAAAGACATCTTATAAACAAAATAGAAGAAATAAGGGGAATAACTGAACGTATCGCAATTCTTAACATTAAACTTAATATAGAAAAAGAAGAAGATTGGTCCATTATCCAGGCGTATTCACCGACGGAATCTATCAAAAAGGAAGACATAACAAAAATCGAGAAATTTTACGAAGACCTCCAAAATACAATTGAAACTGCATATAAAAACGTCATAATAATGGGAGATTTTAATGGCCAAATCGGTACACAAAATATCGGAGAAGAACTTAGTATAGGAAGCTACGGGTTTGGAACTAGAAGCAAAAATGGAACAAGGTTAGTCAATTTTTCATTACAAAACAGACTAAGTATCCTAAATAGCTTTTATAAAAAGAAATTAAGAAATAAATGGACATGGATCTCACCGAACGGCCTTTATAAGAACGAAATCGACTTTATTATGACTAACAATAGAAAAATATTCAAAGATGTGTCGGTCATACATAACTTAAATTTTAATACAGACCATAGAATGGTTCGAGCTACACTGACAGGGATACACCCTAAGAAAACAAGACGATTTCATAATAAATACGCAGTTATTCAATACAAAGGCGAACCAGAAGTCCTACTTAATAATTTACAAATATCAATGGACAGTAAAGAAGGCGTATCAATACAAGAAAAATACAACAAACTACTAAACCAACTAAAAACTATACCTAGAAAAGTAAACACAAACAGCAAGAAGAAAGTCTCACTCAAAAGTAAACAACTACTACTGAAACGTAAGGAACTACTACAAGAAAAGAAAACTAAAGACAACCGTCGAAAAATCGCAGAAATAAGCAAAAGTATAAGCAAAGAACTACGGAACGAAAGAAAAACGAAACGATCTAATACTATGAAGAATTATATAGAAAAAACCGGAGGAATAAAAAAGGCACTGAAAGAACTAAATCGAAAAAAGGATTGGATACTAAATATAAAAAAGAAGGATGGTAAAATCACAGAGAAGAGACCCGAGATACTAAAAGCTGCTACAGAATTTTATCGAAATTTATATCAAAGTCAAAAGTTGGGACAAGTGGTAAGAGAATATGATGCATCTACCGATGAAGAGGAAATACCTGAAATACTAAAAGAAGAAACTATAAAAGCAATTAGTACACAAAAGAATGATAAAGCTCCAGGATCAGACCTCATAACAAATGAAATACTGAAAATTACATCACCAGTAATTGGTCCGATGCTTACAAATATATTTAACGAAATTATTAAAATATTCCAGAGGATTGGACTAAATCTACAATTATATTACTACACAAAAAAGGTGACAAAGGAGATATATCAAATTACAGGCCCATAAGCTTAATGTCTAATATTTATAAGGTATTTTCTAAAATTATACTATTGAGGATTACAAATATTCTTGAAGAGAATCAGCCCAAAGAACAAGCTGGATTCCGTCGAAATATTTCAACCATAGATCATATACACACCCTTAGACAAATATTACAAAAATATAAAGAATACAACAAAAGCTACCTACCTGAGCTGACTACCTAGAGTTTGTCGATTTCAATAAAGCATTCGACACACTAGAACACGGATATATCTGGGATGCACTAAAAATACAGGGTGTACAAACAAAATACATAAGATTACTTCGTAATGTATACACCAAGAGTACTGCGCAAGTTAAGTTACAAACTATAGGCGAAGAATTCCCTATCATGAGAGGTGTACGCCAAGGAGACCCTATCTCACCCAAATTATTTTCTGCCGTTTTGGAAATAATATTTAGGAACCTAGACTGGACAAATGAGGGACTAAACATAAACGGTGAAAACTTGAGCCACCTACGCTTTGCAGACGACTTAATAATATTCTCGGAAAATTCAAGATCACTAGAAATGATGCTGCAACAGCTAGCAGATGTAAGTGACAAAGCTGGACTATCGATGAATTTAAATAAAACAAAAATCATGACAAACTCATCACAAACAGACACGATAAAAGTAAACAATGAGCAAATAGAGTACGTACAGGAATATGTATACTTAGGGCAGCTAATATCTACTGAAGGCTGCATGGAAAAAGAGATTGAAAGAAGAGTTACCAATACTTGGAAAAGATATTGGTCACTCAGTGAAGTGATGAAGAACAAAGATATGCCTAGGAAAGAAAAGAGGAAGGTATTTAATATGTGCATTCTACCATGTTTACTATACGGGTGTCAAACTTGGGCATTGACAGAACATCTAGAAAATAAAATTAAAGTTTGTCAAAACAGCATAGAAAGAAGTACAATAGGTGTCAAAAGAATAGACCGAGAAAAATTAATAGACATCAAAAGTAAGTTAAGAAAGTTTAAGAATGCATACACAACATACAAACAGCTGAAGTGGAGGTGGACAGGGCATATGATGAGAGAAAAGCAAGAAAAATTGACAAAACTTATCACAGAATGGTACCCTTTAGACGGAAAGAGACATAGAGGAAGACAGGCTAAGAGATGGGAGGATGACGTTAAGAAAATAGCGGGTTCAACATGGACTCGCACCGCAAAAATGAGAAAAGACTGGAGAGCTTTAGAGGAGGCCTTTGTCGGAAGACAAGTTGTATCCGAACTACCGTTTGCCGATAGTCAATAAATATTAAAATTGTTAGTATATTAGTTAAACTAGTTAATAGTCAAAATGTGTTTTTTTAGATAGTAGTCATAAGTAATTTTAGGCACACGAAACTACTCTGTGTAAAACTTGTTAACAACAATAAAGGCTTTTTTATTTTTTTATTTTATTTTATTTTATTTTATTTTAACCAAAACCAATGAATACAAATTATAAATATTGTTATTTTACTGCGAGTTTTTCCTGTTTTCAGACCTCAAGAGAATGCTCGCTGGACAAAAATGTTGCGTATTTTAAGGCTAAAGACAAATCTTTATAAATATAATTCTACTGTACGTGTGTATGTCACTTAACTCCTATTAAACGGACCGATTTGAATATTTGGGTGGCGCCCTGGATGTTTTAGATTGTTTAGAAATGTTGTTGAAATGGATGTTTAGAAATCAGCCCAGCAGATGGCGCTGCAGACGGTATCTAGATTATTTATTTATGCAGCAAATAAACAGCTGGTATACATACAAATCCTCTGTGCATGTGTTCGTAATTAAACTTCTAACGGCTGGGCAGATTTTTATGTGTTCAAGTGAAGTCGAGAATGATTTACATTATTGGATATTTTTTTGTATGTAAGACGTGTGCAGGACAACGTCTGTCGGAGACCGCTAGTCTTCCTATAAAATGGTATTGAAAAATTGTATGACCGCTATAATCGTTGTATCGCAATCGAAGGTATCATCAAATCAAATTCTATCAAAAAAAAAAAAACTTTTTTTTAGCCTACAAAATTTTTTTTAGCCTACAAAATTTTCAGCCTTCGAAAACCTATTTATATACGAAATAAATATCACAAGCATATTTTAAATTATTATTTTGCCATCATGCTGCTCAATTAATCATTGGGCGCCAAACGTCAACCATCGATTATAAATTAAACATGAATTTAATAAAACACTAATTGTCGATTTGCGTGTTAACTTTATATTAAGCTTTTGTTTTTGAATAACACTCGTTTGGTGTTGATACTATATAATTATATCTTATATCACTTTAAATGGCTTTAAATACTTAATTAGGAATTACTATTTGCGGGATTTCAAAGACCGATGGAACGATGTATGATAGGGAAGAAAAGAATAGACAAAATAAAGAATACAGATTTAAGAAAAACAACTAAGGTAATAGATGTTACAATAAAAATAAATAAAGAGGGCGGTAAGAGGTAAGAGGAACAGAAAAGTGGAGCAAAAAAGTACTTAACTGGTGCCCAAGATATAGCAAACGATAAAGAGGAAGGCAACTTAGAAGGTGGATAGACCAAACTAAAGAATCAGGTGGTACATGGCAGAGAGTGGCACGGTGCAGAGGGGAATGGCGGGGTTTGGAGCAAGCCTGGGCCAAAAAAGAACACAGTTACCTAAAATAAGATTAAAATAAATACGAAGAGGATATTAAATATTTGCGGGATTTGGACCTCTAAAAGTATAGTATGTTGGTACTATATAAATTCTAATTGCGATACGGGTTGACGTTTTTGTATATAAATTCCACATTCTCTAAACATCCGTAGCGATATCGACCTTGGGATCGTGAGGTACAATAAGTGAATATTTTGGAAGTTACATAGTATCCGCGCTAGTCTTTATTCTAATCATTTAGCAATGAGAGTTATATGTCGTTCATTTCTTCTGGCGATCCGAAGTGGTGGGGGCCTGATGACCTGTAACACAGGCATCAGTCTCACACAAACAAGCATTTCCTTCAATAGAAGAAAATAATTTATAATATATAATAAATGTATTATGTAATAAATAACTGTTTCTTTATTTTGGACTATATGTATAAAGTTTGTGATATAGCTTATGTTCAGGTGTCCTGTTATTGCATAGGAGTCATGAATGTGCTTATAACCAACAGGGTTATAAGGTATCGAAGTCAGAATTGTCAGCCCAGGACTACGAAGGAAGCGCAGTGACTGAACTATCAAAAAAGGTTTTCTAACATATTC